GGCATACCTTTTCAGCATAGTGAGACGCTTTTCTTTCCACGAGTGCTTATAGCCAAAAAATGCTTGTTCATTTTTATTTAACCTAAATCTAATATTGATTTTATATCTGTGTTGTCAGTCTACTTGCTTTCATTTTCTTGTCTTTGCCCCATGTAGGGAAAGAGCTCGCTTACACTTCGCTTTTCAATCTTCTTGATATTCTCTTTTTTTTTTGGTAGTCTGCTAAGAGGCTGAGTTTACGATTTGGAAAGGCCCACATTGCATACCAGCAATTGTTCTTTCCCCTTTCCACCGGCAAAGCTGCAGGCGTGGAATACAGTTTAGGCTACCGAGATTGAAGTCTCATATCTCCAGCACCATTATTAACGTTAAATCGCCAGTACATTCTGTGTTTCGAAAACTTTCCGGTAAAAGGCCACAACTACGATAAGAAGCAAAGCATTTTTTTTTTTGACTTCGAGCTCTACGCATTAAATATTTACACAGATTCATATAATTCGTTAATTAATAGTTCACAGCTCGGAAAAGAGAGCATAATTTAATATAGACTTGAGCAATGCTTCAGGTGAACGCGATCGGGACTGTGAAGCATAGCCCAGCTTTTGTGGCAACATATTTGGGTAGACCCATTTTATTGCCTCATGGTTTTGAGGTAGAACGTCCCGTATTTCGGAAACTAGAGAAGGACGAAGTGGAATCCTCCGCTCCATCCAAACGTAGCATACCTACCCAGGTTATCTTTGCATACCATCCAATAGGTAAGCGAGATCCGCATTCAACCAACGGACATGTCTGTGATGATCTCTTCTTTACCTCCATCATCTCCCAAGGCTCTGGCGATGCTAACAAGCCTCTTTTTACGATCACGCGCAGTGATGATCCGGAACGGAAAAAGTACACCTCAATGGAGTCACTTTCCACCGCGTGGCGGATGGCGTATGAGGAGGCGATCCGCGACTTCGCCGACCGCGCCGCCGAGCTGAACTTTCCCGGCCACCTCAAGGGTCGCCTGCAGTTCCACGGCTTCCAGCTGAGCGGCCTCACCCTCAAGAATGTGATGAATGAGATCCGCGCCCTCCCCGGGGCGGAGGCCGTCTTGGCGGCTTTCGCCCCCCCTTCCCCTGCGGGGAGTGGTGATCCCCCCCCCTCCCCCAGGAGCCCCCCCCTCCCTCTCCCCCGTTCCAAACCCTCCGCGAGGCCTCTGCTATCGCCGGGAGGGAACGCCGACCCCCTCGTGAAGGGGGCGATGCGGCGGAAAACGACCCCGACCCCGGTAAAGGCAGGGGAGGAAAAGGAAAAAGGAAACGAAAAGGAAAACGGGGAAGGAAAGGGGCCGGCGTGCCCCCGGTGTGGCCTCGTGGGGGCCCCCTTTTTGCGCGTTCACCGGGGAGCCTCACCGCCCTCTGCCGTGTGCGGCCTGCGGCCTGACGAGCGCCTTCTGCCCGATCACCGGGAGGCCCCACCCCGGCGCCGGGCTGCGG